GAGATTTCGCTGACAAACTCAGAGAAAGGTCCAGTGATGGCAATCAGAAATTTCAGCTAAAGTATGACATAGCAGCTTACTTCCCCCAAAGGTGTGAGCCACCCAAAGAGGGTAGCCCTTGTTGGCACAAGCAACCATATGGCTCATATGGCTGCCACAAGAAAGATGAAAGCCGCCTCTGAGCCACTGGGACCACCACTGCTATAATTCTAGCTCTTAGTAACAAGAGCCCCAGCATGTGGATAGCATCGTCTTATCCTTTTGCACTAGAGAAGTGGTTAAGAAGTAAGTTCTGAAGCCAGACCACCTGGTTCTGATTCCAGCTCCGCTCATTTCTAGCTGTCCAACCTTGACCAAATCATTTCACGTCTTTGGCTTTCAGGTTGTTTTTTTTTTCTACTATAAAATGGTGATAAAAGTGGCTATGGCAGATAAATGAACTAGATAACTCAAATAAAACTCCTTAGCACAGTGCCACACACACAGTATGTGCTCCATAGAAACGGACTGCTGTCATTACCATCCTTAATCTGTGTTCCTTTTGTCAATTTGGTCAGCCTGGAGAGTGTCATATCTGCCAAAGTCTTCTCTCTGCCCGGTGGGTCCGGTCTAACGTCCAGCTGGTCTCCAGCTCACATTCTAAAGGGTTCTTCCGTCACTTCTCAGGGGAAAAGTGAAAGGGGCATAATAATAGAGAAAAAAGTCTAGAACAATCCCCAGGCCTAGTGAAGGTGAAATCTACCAGCTAAGGCTGGGCAGAGAAAGGACAAGGTAATCCTGGGGGACCAAGTACTCTTACCTAGAATCTCCAAAGTTTTATCTCCAGTAAAACTTAAGTTTTATTTACTTGGACCTTTTTGCCAGCCCAAAGTTTCACCAGAAACCAAAGAAAGCAGGATCTTGTATTCTCCCTACCCTCCCTCATTTCACCCCGTTTTGTAGGTGCTGATGCTCGGTCACTGAACAAAATGAGAATAAAAAGGAAAGTGGTGAGGGCAGAGAATGATCCAGGCTGAGAAGCCAAAAGCCAGCTTTATGGATAGAAGTTCTGCATTTTCTGGATCTGCCACGGAAAAATTTCAACCTCAGGGAAGACAGGCAAATGATTAAATTGGAACCTCTAAAGAATGTCTCATAAGGAGCACCTAGGTGGTGCAGTCGGTTACATCTCTGACTCTTGGTTTGGGTTCAGGTCATGATCTCAGGGTTGTGAGTTCGAGCCAAGCATTGAGGCTCTGTGCTCAGCACAGAGTCTGCTTGAGATTCTCTCCCTCTGCCTCTCCTGTTAATTCTCTCTCTCTCTCTCTCTCTCTCTCCCTCCCTCTCCCTCAAATAAATAAACCTTAAAAAAAAAAGAAGCCTCGTGAGAAAACAGTTACATACTGACTCCATAATTAGAATTTGCTAGAACCTGCTTCTCATACACCTTCCTACTATCACGTTCCACTCCATCCTTGTAAGAACTACACCTCAGGCAAGGATCTGTTGGCCTCCTTTGTCTCAAACTCTGCCTCCATTCATTTTTCTTTTGCTCTCCTCCTTTCCTGGCCTGCAAAAAAATGTATCTGGAAGCTCACTGAAGACATATGCTCTGGGGAAATACACGTTTCTATGGCTAACGTCTCCTCACTCCTCTATGGATGAGTCTGTCGATTCTAACAGAGTCTCCTCTGCCCGAGATTTAAGACAATTGGGAAATTCATGCAAATTTTAAAATATCGAGGCCAGAAATAATCTCATCTCTATGTTAAAAAAACAATACATAGCCTTGTTCTACTGAAAAGTCCCCTTTATTTTTCTGAGAAGAACCTGTTTCAAATCTGCTTCTTTAAAAATTTATAACTCTCCCGAGTCCCTCCAAGAAAAAAAAGTCCACTGTGTAGTACAGAAGGTGAAGAGGGAAGAACTCATATTTATTCATTTTTAAAAGTTGGGGTGGTAATTTAAATCTTCACATCCCTTTTGATCCTATTATATTTTTAATGGCAGAAGCTCCCAGCCAGGGCTCGAGTGGGATGCAACAGAAGTTTTAACATTCAGGGGAGCAGATGAACTTGCCGCGGGGTGTGTGACTGAATGAGAAATGATCCAGCTCAGCCCTGTTTGGGGCAACAGGTCGCTTCGCCCATGCTGGATTTGGGTCAAGCAGCTACACCTCAAATCGGGAAACATCAGCATCATTTTGTTTGGCAAAGAAGTGAGTACTGATAGTGATAATCAAACCCGATCAAAGATGTCATTTCCTGAGCAAAAAAGGCTGGTTGCCAGCCCCAAATTAGCTAAAGAGTGACTGTCTGGCCTGAGCAAGATTCTGCCACACTCCCAGGACCACAGAGCCTTTGAAGAGGCAACATCTAGCTCATAAAATCAATTAAGAAAAGATGTCATTCTATTCTTCCCTCGCCTCTTCTGTTTCTAGGTATTTGCACAATAAATTGGTTCCTGAGCCCTTAGTCCTCTTAGGAAGCTCTGGGAATGCTTCCTTGAAGGATTTTCTGCACTCCAGCTCATCTAAATTGAAGTCTTACATTAAAAATTAATGAAGAAAAAAAAATTAATGAGGTTGTAGGAGAAGGTTAGAATTTGTGTAGGAAGGGTGGGGCTGTAACTTCATTCACGAGTGGGACTTATCATTTATCTCCCCATTGAACACAATTATTCATCACCATCTCCTTGGCCACAGAATCGGGGCAAGATAAAGTATCCCATTCACTAAGGAATCGGAAACCAACGTTCCTATATGGTGGTGCCTTGAGGGCAACTAGGAGAAGAAAAAATCCCAGACAGCAAACAGAGACCGTGACAAACATAACCACAAGGAATGTAAATAAAATATTATTATACGCAGTTCACTCACCACCTCACCCTCAACAACTCCCTCCCCCAGAAACAAAAAGTAAAAGCACACAAATTGTGTGTTTTGAAAAAAGAGTCGAGCTGCTATTTGGAAAGAAGCCACGACTATGAAGATTTTTTTTTTCTCCATTTGGCTCACTTCTACAATCGCAAGGCTTGAGCCGGACCTTTAAAAGAGAACCGGGCTTGTTGACTAATTTAAATTGGGGAAGCATGAAGTTGAACCTGGTGTTGGGAAGAACCTTCCAACAGGGATTTGATCTTCCTCAGTGATAAGACATGTTTACCTGAGCTTTCAAAAGCTCAAACCCCGGCTCTTTTAACATGACACTTCAAAATGAAATAAATGCATTGCAAGCGCAAACTGTAATAAACCAGACTCGTGCCAAACGCACATGTGTACATTTCACAGAAGAGCCAGGAGGACATTTCTAGTAAAGGAACGATTGCCATGCGGAACGCAAGCCAGAGCTCTTGCCTGCCAAGGGTCACGTGCTCCGGAGCACACAGGAGTCCTTAAATGAAACAGGCCGGTAGAAATAACTTCAAGAGACAAAATCCACAAACTTTGCAGAGGCACAGAGCCCCAGGCCAGAAAAGCCACTTCCAGGAACTCTGGCCTCATCTCTCTAAGGACTTCTAAGAGCTACCCTCCTCACTTGAATGGGGGGACCTTCCACCCCATTCAGTCACCCCTTCCTTTAGAATAGAAGCCATGCCCTGAACCGAAGGGGGGATTCAAATGCACAACTGGTAACTGGTGTTACTGCCAAAATACATTCACTGACCTCTGGTCAGTCATTCAGAGCTCGATGTGATACTCTCTTAGTAGGATGAGGAGGTTAGAGGTTGGTCACCCACCACCTTGTTCCCAAGGCTAAAAGTCCCTTTTCTTGTTTAGTCTGTTTGAGACCCTGGGGGACTGGCCTAGTGTCTCAGGTTCTGTTAATATGAACCCACTCCCCACAAATCCACAGGCCCCAGGGAGGCTTAGAAAGGGATGGGGTGGGGGGCATCTGTTTCTGCTAAATGCAATGCCCTCTGCAAGTTGACCCTCAATATGAGAACTCTCAGGCAAAGGTTAGCCTCTCCCAACATCTAAGGGACAGTCTGCATTCTGCATTTGGGAGCTTTGAATTTTCATTGAGAAAACTCCCAAGCCAGCCAGGGCTCCTGGCCTCCACTGTTCTAAGACTTCAGACCCACTCAGCCTCCAATGGTGCTATATTTTACCACTTAAACGCTTCTTCAGAGTTTACTACGAAACAATGTGGCTCTGAGTCTGCCAAAAGTTTCACTGCAGGATTCAGTGGATTTTATCTGGCAGAGTAGCTGCCCTCTCTCTTGAGAATATTTGTGAGCAAAAGGCAGTCATCAAACCTTGCAGTCTGGGCAATTCTAGGGTCCCAACTGTCACTGGAGGAACTCCTTTCCGTAAACAGCCCTCTTTTTCATTTTGACCCCCTTCCCAACACCCCAACTTCAGAATCCAAATTAAAAAGGCAGTCTGTCATTTCAGTAGACCGCACTGAAAAACTTTTGATGGGATGACCCAAGAGCGTAAGTATTCCTGGCTGAACTTAACTTCTGATTTCCAAAATATATGGGGGAGCTGAAGTTCAGGGAAGATGAAAGGAGAGCACCAACAAATAGGAAAAAATGAAATAAAATAAAATGCATATCATGGCCAAGCCAAAACAAGTTTGATATTTCCAAATTATACTGGCAAATGGATGCTTTCACACATCATTTGCTCTGTCTTTCCTGGAGACAAAAAAGAAGAAAAAAAAAAAAAATCTGGATGCAAAAACCCCAACCCCAGACCAGTAAATTGTGTCAGTGGAAAGCAATCTAAAATTGCTGGTCAGAAAGTGCGACCTTTTATCTATCAACACGCACACAAACACCCGAAGCCAAAAGTTGTAACGCCCAAAGCGGTGCATTTGTCAATTTATCACCCCTCTCGCCCCCGTCGGGTGCCCGGCGCTGGGGTAAGTTGACAGCATCTTGTTCTTACCCAGGCGTCTCACACGACCGCTCTGGGTAAATCGCCGCCAAGTGGGCAGAGGCGCCCCCCCTCCGCTCCTCCGGCCGGGGCACCTCCTCCTCCAGGCTGGCCCCCGGGCCGTGCGGGTGCCCCTTACCTGCAGGCGCTCGGTGGCCGGCTGCCACATCTTCCAGCCCAGGGTTTGGCAGAGGAGACGCTGGCGAGACTCTGGATCGCGCCGGAGGGCGAGGGGCTGCGGTCCCGCTTTACATCTGGGGTCGGTGTCCGCTGGAGGTGCGTCCGGGACCGGCCGCCGCCGCGGGGTGGGCGCTGGGGGCCGCGAGCAGAGGAGGCGGCGCCGCGCTCGGCTGCCGGCAACTTGTGGGCACGGCCGCGCGCCGGCTGTCCTGGCGCAGCTGCGAGAGGACTGCGCAGCTCCGCCCGGGCCCGCGAGCCCCCGGCGGCGGCCCTGGCCGACCCCTCCCCCCGCGGGAGCCCCGGGCCGGATGGGGTCCGGGAGAGGGGTCAGGCTGGCTGGGGAGGGCCGGGCCTGGAGCTCGGGGGCTTTCCTTGTGACCTGCCAGGCGCTGTGCTGCGCCACAGACTTTCCATTCATGCTTCCAGGTCGAGTTAACTGAGCAGCTATTATGCTCCAGCCCTATACCGGGTGCTGAGGGATACAGCGGCGCAGAACAGAAGGCAGGAGAATGTTCCCCCTCCCCCCTGAGCTTTCATTGGAGTTGGGACGCCGGTCATTGACCCAGAATATACGTGAAGGGGTACTGGGTCAGGTGGTGATGAATGTTAGGGAGAAAATAAAACAGGACTGATGAGGGAAGAAGGGGAGAGGAGAGAGAATTTAGATTGGGGCCCTGGAAATGTCTGGACTAAGGTCCAAAAATGGACGTGGTGAGGGATGGCATGCTGGGCAGAGGACTAGGGTGCCTGTACCTGGGTAAGGAGGGTAAGCACAAGGCCCCCATCCCTCGTGCCTTCCGAGATCTGCCAGGGGCTGCAGGAGGCTCGAAGAACCCAAAGCTAGGGGCCGCTGTGGGGCTCCCAGGCCTGGAGGCTCACAAGCTAGTGTTCGCACCATGATATAACTACTTTCCTAAACATGGCTCTTGCCATCCTCTTGACAACCAGGCAAGATAAGTATTAAAATATCCCCATCGTATGGATTAGATAAAAGAGGCTTGCAGAGTTTACGTCACTGTCCAGGTGACACAGCCAGTGAGTGGCTTAGCGTGTGCACACTCAGATGACCTCCAGGCGAGAGTTCTTGACTAGCGCATGTAACTCCTCTGACCATGGAACGCCTGGGAAAAGGGGCAGCCATCTGGGCCTGGGGGTACGATGGGGAACTTGGCAGGATGGAGAAGCTAAGCTAAGCCTGGAGGGCTGATAGAGTATGGGCAGAGAGCATGGTGGGAAATGCTGAGGGACAGAAGAGCACAGTATATGTGGGGGCCCAAAGCTCCTGAGAGGCAGGGTCCAGGGAGTAGCGGGGCTGGCAGGGGAAGGCTTCTGATAACATACGGCACTGGGACACGTGCACAGCCTGAGTCCTGAGCCACCTGTGCACTATCAAAATTAACACCCCATGTCCAGAAGAATCTGTGCTATCTCGTGCATACGTAGCATGATTTCCAGATATCAGAGCACTCTGGAATTCAGCCCTCAGCTTATCGGATCCTCCTAGCATATCTCCCAAGGCTTGGGGAACACAAGATTCATAGAATCACCCAGAGGAGAGCCGCACAGTGAGGATTGCAGATCCAGGGCCCCTGCCTCCCACGGTGTCCTTTACCAGGGCTCTATACGCAGCCTCTTCCAGACCACGAAGTTATGGGTCAGCAGAACCTGCCCTGGCAGGTCCAAGACCCTTGGTGCCCTTGGAGCCACAGAGATGCTTCTTAGGGGCTGGTCTCTGTCTCCCCAGATGAACACAGGACTCCCCAGCTTCTGCCTGAAAACCACAAGTTCTCACTTTCTGAGCCACTTCTCTAGGCCCTGCCACCTGCTCTGGATCTAGCAATAAATCCCCTATGCTGAGGTATTGGTGGTTTGCCCTCTGTGGATATACATCTCTGATGCTTGCTCATGTGGTCTGTTTTGAGATGCTATTTTTAGTTTTCCCATAACTCATCCTGCACACCTCCCACACCTAGAAAACTCCTGATGAGAATGACAGACTTTCCCAGCCTCCTAGTTAGTTCCCTTTTGTCAAGTCCCAAAGCAGAAAGCGATGCACTTCATTGCGAAAATCTAGAAAATCCAAATGTGCATATTAAACCTCTCAGGAAGCTAAAACGGGAATATTCAGTTGCCAGAGATGTCTTCCGACTCAAGCTTTGAAACCATCCTCAGTTGCAGATGCTTCCGTGGAAAAGTGATTTTGTTTTAAATAGCAGCGGGATGAGATACCAGCCTAAATTCAAATCGCATTAGAGCGTTAAATCCTGTCTTCTCACCTCCGAGTGTAATTAATTGTTATGACTCAGTAATACAGCTTTTTAGTTCAGCGTATGGTGCTGTTTAAAGAGAAAAGTCTTCGGTTCTGTAGAGATCGCTTTCAGTTACCAGTTCTCTTTGCAAACAGATTGGGTAGAGAATGTGTTTAACCGACACTCCCGTTTCAGTTACCTTTATGCCACTAACCATTAAACGAAGGGTGGGAGGGTGTGTAGGGTGGAGGCTGGTGGAAGGTGGCAAAAGGGATGGGACAACCTCCCACCCATCAGTTTTGCTCCCAAGCCTTCCCATTCAGGAGGAACCTCCAACAGCGGGTGAATGAAATAGAGACATCTACTGGCTAGAGCCGGGACTGCATCCAGATCTCTCACCGTTCTGTTCTGGGACACAGCGGCCTCACCCTCCTGTTGTGTTTGAACTTGCTGCTTTACCATGTAAAACAGATTTGTTTTGAGCAGGGAATCATTCTTGCAATAACCGAGAGGTGTTTTGGTGCAATGAGTAGAAATATTAGGTACATAAACATGTGCCTTATTTCATGCATAATCCTCTATAATGATCTTAATAAATACCATTTCAAGAAAAATGACCAGAAAAAAAAAAAGATTGACAAGGCCCAGATGAGTTATAAACATAACTTTTTCTCCAGAAAAAGAATTACAACCATCCCTAGAAGGCTTTGTAAGCCATGTTTAATCTAGTTCATGATTCTGAGCCTTAAGGTAAGCAACCTAAATATCCACGTCAGGAGAGTGGTGAATTGAATTATGGTCCAGAATATCAAAAAAATATTAAAATATTATGCTGCTATTAAAGAGGATAATTATGGAGCTGGGTTGCAACTGAAAAATAATACTCATGGTATAATTACAGATTTTTAAAAGTAGGCTAAAATGTGTATAATTTGAATACATGTTTAAAATATGTAACAATCACAATGGGGAGATTCAGGTTGAATCCCAGCCTTCAAACTATCTAGATGATGACTTTTGGCAGGTCATTTGCCTTGCTGAACCTCAGATTTTTCATCTGCAAAAAGGGTGATAATATTATTTAAGGTTATTAGGAGCCACAAATGAATGAATTTGTGCAACATGCCTGGCACGTAATAGGTGTACAGAAAACAGCAGTTTTTCATCTTGTTACTTTTCTCTCCCTTTTTATTATTGAAAGGATCAAATTCTCACAAAGTTCATGTGTTCAAATGATCCAATGTTGCCTGTGGTTAAGTCATTTCCATGTGGAATATCTGTAGATTTTGCTTATTTGATTTAGTTTCTCAAAAGTGATAAACCATATTGAAGCTCATTTATATTTCTAATTCAGTCAGATGGCCAGCAAACTTTATTATGGCTGTATGTTTATCAGGGCAGGCCTTGGAAAGTCTTTCTTATGGTATCATTCACTATTTCAAAATCACCAAAACAGCTGTAGATGAGCAATATAGAAAAGTCTGAAAATTCATTAAACCTTTGAACCTCCCTACAGTGATGGAGCCTCTGGCTCTTGTCCCTATATAGTGATAGGTATTTATTGGGGTGTTAAGATATCCCTTTTCCTTCCTTAAAAGTAAATCTTCATAGCTTATCTTTGCAAACTTGGTTAAAAGACAAGTGGCAGAACTGGTTAATACCCAGGATGTGTGTTGTCATTCTTTACTTCCTCATACTGTCATCCCCAGCCTAGAAACGTGGCAGATTATTTTCAAAAATGGTTATAATCATCCCTCTTCCTGCCCCTCCCCTAAAGCCCTTTGCACCACGGCTTGCCTTGTTTCTTTCATTATGAGATGGAATTTATCTGCACCTTTTGAATCTGTGCTGGGTGTTGCTGGTTCATGGACTGGCCCCCATATAGGGAGGGCAAAGAGAGACCGAAGAAAGGCAGGCCACTCCAGATTGGGAGGTGGCAGTTTTAATAAGCAAGGCAACTTACGAGGCTTGTCTTGGGTGGCCACAAGACAAATGGAGCTCCGCACCAGCTGGCTAGAATAACGGGGCTCAGTCATATATACCATCCAGATGGTCTCAACCACACCTTACTTTCTCAAGGCTGCATCCTTGAAAACAGCTCCCAAAGTGGGCTGACTATATTCCAAGGACAGGGGAGGGGGCGTCTAGCTCGAGGGTCAGCCTGCAGTCGCGGTGCACCTCCTCCAGCAGACGAGCAACTTGCTTTGATCGATAGAAGGTTGCAGATGTGACATCGTGGGCCTTCCAAGCCTGAGCCACGACAAACCTTGCAGCTTCTACTGTCACCCTCTAGGAACCTGAGATCATGGCAAACAGAAGCCCAAACCAGCCTCCTTAAGATGAGGACCATGTGAAAGGGGGCCAAGTCGACAAATGAGTGAGGTCAGCTTAGAACAGCTAGCTCAGTCACACCACTCCACTGACCCAGGTGAGCCCAGCGGAAGAACCACTCAGCTGAGACCACCCCAGATGGCTGACCCACAGGATCGTGAGCAAATAACATGGGGGCTTCTTTAAGCCCTGTGTTTTGGGGTGACCTGTTAGGTAATGGTAGATAACTAATACAGAAAACAAGTGTTAAACTTTCCACTAAACCTTGATTCCTTTCTAATATTTCCTAACAGATTTATCAAAGTTCCATCAACATGAGACCCCATTGCCCAACATGAAGCCTTATTTCTTTTTTGTGTTCTACTCTTGTTCTCCCACTTTCCTCATGCCCACCTCCGTCCTAGCCTCAGATTGCACGGGCCATGCTGCTGAGTCATGCCTGCTCGCTTTTCTAGTAGGTCCTTCTGACAGGAAGATGGGACGTGGGCTGTGCTCCAGGCATATGATGATCCAAGGTAGGTTTCTTCTAGTGCAATTTGCTATAAACTTGAATGCATTGGCTTTTCCACAGCCCTTGTCATCCTCTCTGAGATACCCGCCCGTGTCGACAA